TTTTTTTTTTTTTTAAGGTAGATGTGTAACTAGTTTTGTCATTATATTATTAATCTTTTTTTCTAAACGTTTATATTATTTTGTAGGAATGCTATTTAAAACTATGTGAAAATCGAAGACTATAATACTCTTAACGTTTAATTTTGTAGAAGTTTGAATTTTGGATGAGTAGCATTTTATTTGTTTATTAAATTTGGATTATTGTATATTTTTAAGTGTTGGTTGACTGTAATATTTTATTATTTACTTTTCGCGATTAATGATAATTTTTAATGTGTTTGATTTTATTAGTATGATATTAATGTGCAAGAAAATAATTATTTGAAATGAACGCTTTACTTTTTGTTTGTGGAAAAATTCAAATTATAAACATATTCTTCGTAAAAACTTGTGATTTTCAATTTTAGTTGATTGTATTATATGAATGACAAATATTATTTTTTTGAAAATTTCTTACTGAAATGGAAAAAATATTATTTATAATTAAGTCAATCCAGCCCAAAAATAAAAAAGTCGGACCCGACCCAGTTCGACCCGACCCAATTCGAACTGGGTCGGGTCGTGAAAGAGCCCAAAACCGAGTATGTCAAGTCGGTTTTGGGTCAAACCTGACCCAGCCCTAGCAAGAATACAAAATCAAGTAGTGGCTCAAATTAACCAGTGAAACGCAGCAGCGTAATAAAGCTACAAGTTCAAAACAGGGGCAAAATCGATTCCAAGTGCGGAATATCAGCTAATGTTCGCCTAATCTGGCGTCAGAACCATCACATGGACATATGACGCATACAAAAACACACTATTACAACAAATGATCTAACATCTGGGTAAGTGTCCAAAATTCTACACTTGGATAGACACAACAAAGATCATAAAAGTGGTCTAATTTACCAAACTCCTACAAGTTATAAATCTAACATAGGATTACCATTACAGATCACAACCCATTGCTTCTTCCACCAGGTACAGCAAAAGGGTGGTCTTTCAGAATCATGAATATTTACAAAGTCGTGGCAGCTAACTCTTCAAAATCACATGCAACAGTCATGATGCTTTGTTTGAGTTCCTCTAGTTTAGACTTGGAAGAGGCAATTATGCGATCCTTTGCTTCTTTAGCTGATTCAGCAAGCGAAAGCTTTACTTGTAGGTTCTTTATCTGCTCGTTGATCCTGTTAATCTCTTCATCTGTGTGATTTCTCTCAAGATTTTGCTCAGCAATTTGACTTTGAAGTTGCTCTACTTGGCCAAAAAGCTTATCCTTCCTATCTTTCACTGATAGCAACCCATTTATACGGTCTCGGACTGCATGAACATCAAATCCATACCTTTCCAAGTCTGCAAGGTTCTCCAAAATGTCGTCGGAGATGCTTTTAGGATCATTAAGTTGCAATCGCGAAGCTTTTTCCACCACACTGGAAAAGGTTACCATTAGACCTATAGCTAAGCCTTCACGAGAACTCTCTTTAGTATGTTGTAGAGGTTGGAAATGTGGCTTCTGCGGTATCCTCCGGAAGATATCCATGGATTCAATTGCACTCCAAAGCATCGCATTCTTCAAAAAAGGCAAGCTTAGCTGCTCGCTCTGAATGGTTGAGCCTTCATCTCCAGAGATAGGGATTTCCATACCACTCTCTTTCTGCCTCTCACTGCCATCAATCAAAGCAATTTCTTTTTCAACACATTGCTCTGCAGTCCTTGCCAGGGAAACTCCTGCAGAAAATCAAATATCATCAGGCAAACTATACCAAAGAAGTGGTTCACACCAAGAAAATGCATGTTAGCATTTTACCTGAGCCATCAACAGCATTTGGAGTCTGTATTTCCTCAATCCATTTTGAAAGAGGTTTATTATCAAATTCTCTGGAGGGTACTCCAGCAATGACTTCATTTAATTCATTCATTATGTGATTTGATTCCGTGGTTTTACTTCCTGGAGCATCTAGAGAATCTGCAGAACCTCAAAAAAAAGGCATCGTCAGAAAAAACAAAATCAATAAGTTAGAAACAAAAAGAATCATAGGTTCTAACCTAAACATTTTTTTTTCTCCAATTTCACAACTATATGCAGTCAACGTGTCCCAAAATAGCAAATAAAACAAGTTAAAAACAACAGCACAGCTACCAAAACTCAACAATCACGAAGAAAGAATCTGCCCGCATACAAAAAACTCAGCACCTTGAACTTGATAGGCACTCTTTACATCTGTGGCCCGTCTTCTTCCTCTCTTTGATGAATGCTTCTCAATTGGATTTATTGACCACTCAACAGCTTTCGCATCTGACGCTTTTCTGTGGGTCTTTTTCATTATACTGCCAGGCCTATTTTTCAGCTTTGGAAGACCATCATTCTTGTCATGCATTGTGCTTTCCCGATCATACAAAGAGCCCTCAGTTCCAGTCATCTTCACTTCAGCACTTGTGCGAGAACCAACTTCATTTGAGGAACAGTCTTTTATGATAATTTCATCTGCCGCAATATTTCCATTTTGCACACTGCCTATTAACACAGGAATTTTCTTATTAGCAAAAACCTAAAAGTGGTTATCACATAAGGAATCTACAATTTCATCGAACAAGGGTGATAAAAGGAAGAAATAGGGAGAGAGAGTGAAAAGGAATGCACAAACCTGTTACCTGGGTTTGATGGCTTTTGATCGGCATCTTTCGTGGCCTTCCCCTCTTTCTCTTTTGAATGCTTTCTTTAGTTTCTGGTTGTTTACTCTCCTAAAAATGCAACGGAACACAAATAAGCAGCAAGAGCATTAAGTAGTTGAATATATTATTTTCCTTCAGTGCAAACGACAAAAGACAATGAACTCACTTGAATTCTGTGTAATCATGTGAGAAGAGCACAGACCAGCTCCAGAAAAACTTGACAAAGTTGTGCTCAAATGCAACTCACAATAGATGGCAGGTTTCATACAGTTTTAAATTGAACTTTAAGCCCAACCGAAATTGATTCTCTTTTTTAAATTTTATTAGTTATTGAAGGGGAAAAGGGATAAAATTGAAGACAAGAAAATATTATGAAAAGGGCACAAATTAAACATACCCAGCTACCCCATCGTAATCTATAAATAAAAACTAAGCAAAAAGACACTATACATGGAAATACAAAACTTTAATGAAGAATTAATTTATGAAAATTAGATGTTCCATTTATATATGTACTATTTAAGTATGATATAGATGAGAATTAGATAGAAGGAAAACATCTATTATCAAATAATTCCAAAAAAAATAAGCTGAATTTAAAATTAGATTTACAAAGGAAAGGAAAGGGTAACAAAAAAATGTATCCAGGTACCATAGCATAATTCTTACTTAAAAAAATGAGCAGAGAGTAACAAAAAACCATGGACAAAAAGATATAAGTTTAATCTAGCAATAAATGTAGCAATATTAAGTCTATAATCCCCTCAGGGCCATTGAGGTGGGTATCCGACCGTAAACTTCAGGGTTCAGGGGATTAGTTGAGGTGCGCGCAAGCTGGCCAGAACATCCACGGTTATCAAAAAAAAAAAAATTATCGTCAGAATATTATTTTATTTCTCTTGTTGACCTTTTCATCACATCCCAATAAATCTAGCAATATTAGATTTAAAATTGTTAAGGATTGTTATATCATTTTCATTTACTTGTCCCACAAGAGATTTTATGATCTCGAGATTTCAAATAAGTTGACTATGCAAATGGATGCTTAAATTCCAATTTACAGAGGAGGGGGCTCCAAGCTAACATTCAAAATCATATATAAGTGCCAGTTTCATCATATTCACCTTTATACTCTGTATCGCTGAATCATTTGATAGCTGCTCCTGATCACTCACAGGCTTCAAAGATTCCTTATCAATTGAAGGCCGATCCCTGTTGTCACATAAGCTCGCCTTTCCAGTAGCCAAACCTATGACGTACAGAGACCAGTTTCTTCTATCACACACTAATTTAGATCATAAAAACACTAAAACAATAAAAACCTCACAGATACCTCCTCCAACAGATTCTGGGCTTTTAACTTGTAGTTCTTGGTTTCTTCCTCTTTTCTTCATAGAACCAGATGTAGGGTTTTCCTGATTTCAAGACTTGGAAGTCAGTCAACTATGCAAACAGGTGCCTAAATACTATTACAGAGGGACTCCTCACGACATTCAAAACCATTCGTAAGTGCCAGTCTCATCATTTTCACCTTTATCCTCCATAGCACTGAATCATTTGATTGCTGCTCCTGTTCACTCACGGGCTTCAAAGGTTCCTTATCAATTGATGGACAATCCCTCTCGTCACTTGAGCTTGCCTTTCCAGTAGTCAAACCTATGATGTACAAAGTTCAGTTTCTTTCACACAGATAATAAAATTTCGTTCTCACTAATGTAGTTCTTAAAACAACTAAACTAAGACATAAAAAACCCTATAAATACCTCCTACAACAGATTCTGGGCTTTTAACTTGCAGTTCTTGGGGTTTTCTTCTTTTCTGCACAGAACCAGATGTATGGTTATCCTGATTTCAATACTACAAGTCAACTGACTATGCAAACAGGTGTTTAAATTCCTATTTACAGAGGAAGGGACTCCTCATCAACACTCAAAACTGTATATAAGTGCCAGCCTCATCATATTAACCTTTATCCTCTGTATAGCTGAATCATTTGATTGCTGCTGTTCACTCACAGGCTTCAAAGATTCCTTATCAATTGACGGATGATCCCTTTTGTCACTTGAGCTCCCCTTTCCAGTAGCTAAACCTATGGTATACAAAGTTCAGTTTCTTCTTTCACACTCAAAAATTAAATTTTGTTTTCATTAATTTAAATAGTAAACAACTAAACTACAAAATAAAAACCCCACAAATACCTCCTACAACATATTCAGGGCTTTTAACATGCATTTCTTGGGTTCTTCCTCTTTTCTTCTTAGAACCAGATGTAGGATTATCCTTCTCAACTTTTTGTTGTTTTCCCTGACATGTAAATTATGAGTGAAGAACAAATATTAGTTGATGCAATAAACATAGCAAAAGTAAAACAGGTACAAAGAATTAGATTTAGGATTGCTTCTTATTCTTTTCTTCAGGTCTCATTTGGCATAGAGATGTTCAGTCGACTAGTATTAAATTTGTTAAGTAGCTTTACAAACATTATTATGGTATTTGGTTACAATTAATTAGTATAAAATCCATCCACAAAAACTTAACTCTGCACAACTGCAAATGAACCAAAATCTTTATGAAACTAATGAGATTAAATAGTACAATTTCAACATCAACAATCACATACAAATTGAACAAAGTATTGCATCTACAAACTTCTTTGGACCAAAACTTTGTCAAGCATCAACGTTCTCAGCTCTCAACTAACGTAATAACATATCTAGTTCATTAACTAACATTGGAGAGTAATATGTGGGTGCCAATTGGTGGCTTAAAAAGTTGCAACTCTATCATCATTCTTGATGATAAATTATCGGTGATGTGACAGTCTACGTGGAATAATGGAATTGGACAATTCAATTTATATGAGACGAGGAAGAGAGATAAATGTGAAGAATAATGGGTAACGATAATTTATCATCATGATGATAAACAACATTACTAGACATTTCACCTGATTCAATTAAATAAGCAAAATAATCATATAGCATGTTTGCAAAATTAAGTCCATGGCTCATAATATTTGTATGGGGAGTGGCTCCTACACAAAATAAGAAATAAGTTAGGTAAACCTTACTTATGCGCTTCTTTCAACAAAAAAATATAAAAAATGGCATGGGTCCCTGTTTTACACGACATACACTTATTTTCCAATCATGTTCATAATGTATGATGAGGAATATGTTCATAATGTATGATGAGGAATTTCTGCTGACAGGTCTGACTTACAATTCTCTGTCCCTGGTAAGGATTATTAGAAGACAGATCCCCAAGCATGGATTGCTTAACAGATTTAATCCTGGTATTTTCTGAAATTGGACTTGCAGAGACATGAAGCATCACTCTACTTGAAGTTACAAGTGTGTTTTGTTGTTCAGGTGCAAGAGATATGGCAGCTTCTAGATTTCTTTCCTTCAGCTTCTTCAAAGGCAGTGAAAGATCATCAAGAAAATCAGAAGGTAAACTACGTCTTCTTTTTGTAATTGAAGTCGTAATATGAGAAAGTTTCTGATCGCAAGGAGTTAATTGCTCCATCTGATTCTCCCTTGAGTTCAAGGAACGAGGCATTTTCTCTTCAGTGAAGTCTTTTCCATTGCCTGAGCTCCCTACTGGAACAGCCACTGTGGAGATATTTGCACATGTATGGCCTCCCTTCTTTTCAGAATCTGACGATGGGATTAAGACATCCTGAGAGAATGCCAAAGATAATGGTGTAAATAACCTAATTCCTCATAGTAGATGAACAAGTTGCCAGACAAGAATGTATCAAACAATGAAGTGCAAATCCAGGAAATGACCACTCTGAAATATGAAGGCATAGGTGGAGGGACTACAGACTAGTCATACATATATTCTAACAAGATAATATTCACAACTGGTGCAAACTGAGCAAGAGATAGCATTGGAAAAAAAAAATTTATATATATATCATATACACACATACATATACATAAAGGTTATGATTGGTACAAGAGTGTTAATTGAATTTAACCATTAGATACCGTAAAATTGTGACAGGCAGCCTAGAATTCAAGTTATCCAACCTTCCAGCCTCTAGTGCAAAACGCGATATGATACATACCTTCAACTGACATATTTTATAAACGTGTTTGCAAGAAAAGGCTGAAATGTAAGCAGGCCAAATTCAACATGGGTAGCAAACAAAATGGTGCGGAAGCGTTTAGAAATTCTTGAAATAAGAATTAAAAATAATAATTATATTGAAATAATCTTGCTTTGTATTGATATATGATTGATTGATTAAAAAGTGTACAATACCCCTATACTTATAGGCAAAATTATCCCTAATCCTATTAATAAAAGGAAACTAAAATAAGGAAACTAAATTCGAAAAGGAAATAAACTAATTCTAATCTAAACAAAATTTAAGAATAAGCCTATTACAACTAGAAACAGAAATTAGAAAAGATAATTTAAAAAAAACACTCCTAGATAAAGTGGAACTATTAATTATAGTTGTGATGTACTACATCAATCCCTTCCACTTGAATAAAACTCGCCCTCGAGTTTTGTGGATGTAAGGAAAACTCATATAGAGGAAAGTATTCGAAAATATCAGCAACATTGAAAATATTAGAAATATTCATATCAGCAACATTGAAAGTATTAGAAATATTCATATCAGCGGGAAGGTCAACTTTGTAAGTATTGTCACCAATCTTTTGAAGAATGCGAAAAGGATCAATCTTCTTATCTTTAAGCTTATTGTAAGTGCCAACAGAGAAACGATTTTTGCAGAGATGAATCATCACCAAATCACCTTCGTTGAACAGCTTAAGGCGTCGATGTTGATCTGCAGCAGTCTTGTAACGAATATTAGCATGTTCTAAATTTTGTTTTACTTCGTGATAAATTCTATGAATACGTTCAGCAAACTCTTCTGCATTAGAATTGACATTCGGAAGTCGAATCAAATTTACTATATGTCTTGGAACACTAGTGTAAACGACTTCAAATGGA